CTCGGAATCTGCTCTTTCAGAGGCGCGATAGGAACAGTCTTTCTTCTCGCGGTTAGCTCGCGGCTGCTCGTCACTCGTCAGAGATTCATTATCGCGACGTAGCTTCATCTTTCGCCGATGCCATATCCATTATCGCGCAACGGAAGCATCTCTCTCCCTTTCGTCAAGCTACTTCCCCCGGCCTAATTAAGTTCGACAACTGACGAGACTTTGGACAAAAGAAACGTTATCGGATAAAGTAAAGAGGTAAAGACGAGGAAGCAATTCGAAAGGATTCTTCAAATATCTTTCTTACGTATTAATTGTTTTGCCACTCCTCTCTAATTATCCTTCTCTTACTGTTTATTTGAAATGAAATTTAAAATAATACGAACAATAATATTTGAAATGCAAGTTGACTTTTAATAATAATAATTCCTGAATTTTGTTTAAAATTATTATATATTTATTTAATAATTTTTATTATTAAATTTGTGAAAACTGAAAATTTTGTACACAGTTTATATCTTTTATTTTCATACGGAAAAATAAACGAGGTAATTTTTTATTTCAAGAACTGTGAAATACTCTATTTATGTTTTAAATAATCTAAATAAATAATATAATTTCAAGTAATTATATTATATATAATATAATATATTGTTGTTATATTATGATAAAATATTTAAATAAATAAACATTCAAAAATGTGCTCAATATCTCAATTAATATTATACGCGTAATGTGACTTTAAGCTTAAATCCAATTCGCTTTTACGAAAATGATGTCGGAACGCATCATTTATTTATCGATTCAGATAAGTAAATATTTGAAAGGCGCGCCTAAGTAAAAATTTCACGACAAAGGAATTTTTGATTTCGGGAATCCGTCTCTCGGACGGGTCATTTCACGCGACGCAATTGCGGATGATGTGGGTAAAATTTGGAGTACGAGTTCGAAATGCAGTCTCTCTGTAACAGCCGGAAACGCCCAACCACATACACGCATGTTGCCGCACGGCTACCAGGCTGCTTTGGTCTCCTCCTCCCACCTCCCCTTCAGATGGTAAAGTCGATGGCAACAGCCCAAAGAGAATTTTCTAGTGGTATACACCTTTCGGTTACTTGGCAAGCGGGAGTCGCTTCGATTTACCTTTAAAAACGATCCCACGTGCATAACGTATGATTGTCGGTGACGTCACCAGCACGCACGAGGGCTCTCGAGTTTGCTCCATGCTCGACATTTGTGTAAAAAATATTATTAAATGTCTCAATAAAGGTAGAATAAGTATTTTTGTAGATGGCGAATCCAATTTAATAAGCTCGATTTTTCCGTTCCTCTGTCTCTTTCTCTAAATAAAATAGCTTTCTTTCTCTCTATCTCTTTCTCTATTTTCTCATTCGAGTACGAGACACGCGATATTCGGATCTGAAATCGGATCTGAAGATTTACAATAGCGCCATTATGGCGAGAAAAAAGAAAAACAACTACAAGGAGTATGTTTCGATCGACTTTTCCTCTTAAGATCCACTTAAGATATAACATTTGAGAAACTGGGTATTTTAATAGAAATTAAATCCTTTCCGAAGATTTGGCGAACGTTTTCTCGAAGCGAGCAGCAGCGCCTGCGTCGTTGCAGCTGCGAGAAATTTGTGCAGGAGATAAAACGACGATAAAATGAATATTTTCGTAAAATATTTCGACAAGACGTACGACCACAAACATGCGCGCGGCTGCAATCTAATTTGATACTATAGAAAGTAGAAAGGGAGAGAGAGAGAGAGAGACAGTACAGCGAACACAAAGAGCGATGTAACGCGTGTATAAATTCGTTTTTGCGACATGCCCGACCCCATTATGCGACCTCGTATCGTGTCCTGCCGACACTCTCAGCCCCTAGAAAATGCGGGCCTCGCACTAGGAATGGGCAATGTTTAAAATAAAATCAATTTTTGGAAAAAGGAATCGATTCTGAATATCGATCTTATATGTAACACAAATCAACGAGTCGATTAATCGAGTAAAAAAATATTGGTGAATAAGGTTATTATATAGATTATGTCTTTTTTTCACTTGAAAGTTTTTCTACCTGAAAAATTATTATTATTGTTAAGCCAGCAATGTGTATATAAAACTGTAATGAAATAATAATACAATATTTCAACGAAGCTCTTTTGTATAAAAACAAATATTAAAAAGGCAATTAAGAGCCAATCGTTATAATAAAATCGATTTTTGGAAAAAGGAATCGATTCTGAATATCGATCTTAATCGACGAGTCGATTAATCGAGTAAAAAATATTGGTGAATAGGGTTATTATATAGATTATGTCTTTTTTTCACTTGACAGTTTTTCTACCTGAAAAATTATTATTATCATTAAGCCAGCAATGTGTATATAAAACTGTAATGAAATAATAATTATTTCAACAAAGTAGGCTCTTTTGTATAAAAACAAATATTAAAAAGGCAATTAAGAGCCAATCGTTGTTGACAATAACGAATTTCTATATTTGGTATATGTATAAACATTTGATTATCTATATATTTAAACGAAATTACAAGTGTACGTTTCGGTTCCTGTTTGAATCATCTTCAACACTATTATTTACAAAAAACTAAAATTATTCTTTTTCGTCCTACATTAATTGTCACTAAATTTTTTCAACAGTGCAAATAATTATTTCATTTAATTATGCAGGTAAATGAGTAACAATACTGGGAATAAGGATATAATTATTTCGATTTTGCCTAAATTAAATCGAAACTCGATTAATCGACCGACAAAAATATCGACGAAATATAATCGATTATTTGAATCAAAGTATCGATACCTTCGGATTAATCGAAAACATTCTTCATTCCCACTTTGCACACAGTGTTGTGCTTAGATGATTTTAAAATTAGCTAGATAAAGATGCGATAAAAGTATGTAAATTCATACTTAGATAAGATGAAAGTGATTTTGTTTTAGATATATCCAGATTAAAGATAAAAGATAAAAAATGTTAATTATAAAAGGGATATAAAGATATATATGTATTCATATTTTTATTTATAAAGTATCTCTTACTGCTTAATCAGAAAGAAATATTTTTATCGGCTTTCAATATTAAGAATATAAATATGTTTTTTTTAAATCGGCCAACAGAGCTAAAGCACGAAAAATTAATTATTCGGAACTGTATCTCTTGGTTTGAGATCACTAAGTTCCATATATAAATTAATCTCGAAACTTACATATGGAGAAATAGGCGCGAAAAATATAGGTCCGAAATTTATATATGGAACTTATGGAGATACAGTTTCGAATAATTAATTTTTCGTGCTTTGGCTCTGTTGGCCGATTAAAAAAAAACATCATATTTATATTCTCACTGCTTAAATTCTACTAATTATATGCTATGAGATTCTAAATCAAAATTATCCGAAAATTCTAGATAATTTAGTAAAGCTAATACTTTGTTTCATCTAAGATGCAGATATAGATGATACATATTTTTATTATCTATATAAAGATAAGATGACGCCAAAGTTTCATCTAGATGATCATCCATATATAAAAATCTTTCCTCAATGGTAAAAGATTTTTATATATGGATGATCATCTAGATGAAACTTTAGCGTCATCTTATCTTTATATAGATAATAAAAATATGTATCATCTATATCTGCATCTTATATATAGATCATGGATATATATGGATGGATAAATTATATATGAATCAGATAATAATTCTTAAGGTTCGCCAGTAATAATTAATCAAAATCTTTCCTCAATGGTAAAAGTCGACCAGACTGGCAATCATTTATTATAAATAATTAGTTAAAATACCGGTATCAAATAATAAATGATTGCCAGTTTGGTCGACTTTTACCATTGAGGAAAGATTTTGATTAATTATTACTGGCGAACCTTAAGGATTATTATCTGATCCATATATAATTTTATTTACATAACAACAAACACTCGCACATGAGACGCGGATCGCGGACCTCGATCTTCATAAGTATCTCGAAATCTTCTCGTTTCGAAGATTCGATGATGCGCGCGCGCGAAGAACCGTCTATCTTCCATCCGCCGGGACGACGAGACGATGGTCGGGAAAACGTAGAGACTTGAAAAATTGCATTTTGTATTCAATAACTAAGCTGTCACACCGACTGGTGAGCTTCTATAACTCAAGGCGCATCCACGCAGCCACGCGTACATACAACCGCCCCTAGATCGATCGATCCTTCTTTCCTCCCCCAACCCCTACTGGGGTGGAAGGGGATGCACGTACTCTCCTCCCTCATCCCCCGGCATACTCGTTGCAAACTCACTGACGTTGTGATTTCAAAAAATTTCGCTGTCGAACTTTGTATCGGATTTTGTCGATCGAGTTCTCCCTCTGTCCCGTTTCTCACCCCCAACTCACCCCCTCCCGTCATCTTCCGGCGCCAATGTCTGACAGATCCCAAAACTGTCTCATATTCGTCAAAGCGAATTTGGCGGAAGATTTTACTAGCACTGTTGTGCGTCTCGCTGTACACACGTGGATCCGACTGTATTAAAATTTAATTAAAACGCGATGTGTGACAATGAGATACAATGGCGCGCAAATAATATGTTGTAATATTGTCGGAGCGATATGCCGGATGTAGAATGTAATTAACGCGAGAATTTACACGTGATTTTGCTTCCTTATCAGTCCACGGGCGATAATTAAATGTACACACAAGGTTATTAGTTAATTATTATACGTACGTTTAGCCTAGAAATTTTATCGCGGTTTTATGCTAATACGATACTTTCGAGATATCATTATCACAAAATTATACTTTATATATTCATCGATGCAAACATACTTTTATATTATTTTATATATATATATGTATATATAATATATTAAAATATTGTATACATATATATTTTTTTATATAATTATTCTATATATTTCTAATATAATATATATAAACTTATAATAATAAATAATGATATATATAATTATAAATACATATATTCTTTCTTTTTTCAGTTACCACCATCCCTGATCCTGAATTCGTCGATGAAATAGGAAATATTACGGTACCGGCAGGACGAAATGTTAAACTGGCTTGCAGTGTGAAAGATCTCGGATCGTTTAAGGTATGCATATGAAAATTAATACTTTATTTTATTATTGTGTTGTGTTTAGTTTATTATTCGCGAAATATTTTGTTTCGTAATTTTCACCAATTCAATTATATTTACAAATTGCGATACACTAATGGGAGAGAGCGCCGATTGTTTACTGAGTAACTAAAATAAAAAAAATTATTGAATCAATAATATAATATCTACTTGTGTGTGTATAACAGCCTGTATTAATATCGAAGATAAAAAATTTAATTATCTTTATTAAAACGAGCTTCGTATTAATATCACAGACTTTTCGGATAAATATTAAACATTAATATATTTCGTTCGTCGACTTTTAATTAAAATTTTTTTAAGATCGATGTATTTCCTTTCACTTTCCGTCTTCTTAATCTTCTAAAGCTCAATTTTTGCTGGAAGGCTAAGCAGAAAATTATGAGCACGTGACATCGTTAAATCACGTGGTCGGATATACTTTGATAAATGTCATTCATCAATAAAGGATCTCATTAAATTCGAAGCGTGGGACGGTAGAGAAAAATCGAGGGCGAAGAGGGAATATACGTATCTTCGTAGGATCTTGAATAATTTTCTCATCTGGCGCACTCATCTCACTCAGCTGTTATCGTACACGGAATAAATTAATGGCATCGTGGACGTATATCGCGCATCATATTTAATATATTTTCCTGCTGCGAGCGACGAGTAGGTCGCACACAAATTGGTTACTACCAATAGTTAAATCATATAACGTACAAGTAGCTGCATAAAATTGCGAATAATATTACAAATTTCAAATTTTGTAAATAACCAGGCAACTTTATTCCGTTCCAGTTATTTGAAATTATCGTCTTTTTTTCTCGCACCCCAGTAAACTCAAACTCGTTAATACGAGTGTGATAGTCTCATCTTATAAACGTATATAAATTGCAAGAAAAATACGAAGTAGTCTTTCTTATCTCTTTTCATTCCTTTTTTTTAATTTTAAAAATGAGCCTTCTATTCATCAGAGTGACGTTTCTCGCAACTTTTAACTGTTTTAAAGAGAAAATCTAACTCGCGCAAAAGAAAGATATATACCTGTATGAGAATACGTAGAAATGTCAAGCTCTTAAACATAACTCGGAAACTGAGTCATTATTCGTATATTCGCGAGTGAACCAGAAACATACACTCGAAATGCTACGATAACCAGAAACAGGTAACGAAAGTCGAAAGAGTTCGACAGAAATCTGAAATTTTACACATCCGGCAAGGGAACATTGAATTGGTACTTTCTGAATCTGAGAGCGTCAAGCTCGTCGCATCGGTTGTCATCTCGTTTTACATAACTAAATCAAAGAACTCGATCGTCCCGGCAAAATTTAGTAACAAGATATATCAAAAGAAAGAGAATTTTTTATATTTATTTATATATTATATTTTTTATATTTTTTCAAGAAGCATGAATAAAAGTATCTTGTTTTTTAAATTTAACTTTCTTAATCTGAATAAGCGCAAATGTCGTTAATTAAACAGTGATATAAGATTAATATGATATAATAAGATTTTACTAAAGATCAGAAAAAACACACTTTGCTCCTCCATCTTATATCTGATTATAGCAGTAAAATTTCGATTAAAAAGAAGCTTTCACACATATCATCAGCAATGAAACATGTACTCTTAAAATGTGATAAATTTACAAAGAATGAGTAAAACTCTTTATTGAATTCAGACACATTTCTTTTTTAAGATATATATCAAACTCAGACACATTTCTTTCTTAAGATATAATATTAATTATAAATTTACCTCATATATAATACTACATGTCAGATGTAACTTAAAATCTCACTATAACTGACAACCGCTATTATTAACTGAATCTTTTAGTGACATTTGCTGCAATGTTATACTACTTACAACTGAGATAATAAAAAACTATTTATTGTTTTTCAATAATATGATCATCTGTTTAAGAGAGGAAATGAAATAAATCGCATATATAAAGTGCAAAAATATTTGAAAAATATTTTGCTATTTCAAAATTGCTTACTTTATCGTAATTCTGACATACAATTATTTAAACGTCACTTACTGCTCGAGATACATGTCATACATTGGAAATAAGAGACGCGACTTTATTGCTTCCTTTTGTCTGCGTTAAAAATTCAAAGCGCGTATTTTCGGAACATTTGATCTCGAACCAGTTTGAGTTGAATCAACTCCCTTCGTGTTTTGAAAAAAAAATGTCGAAGCGTGCCGAAGATCGAGCCGGACAATACTTTGTCGGGCGCCTGCGCGGAACGATTTTATATCGCGATCCGCGTGCAACAGACAACTTACTGCTCTCTCACTGCCACTTCTCCACCTTATACGAGCCTTATACTGCCCCTTAGTGCCCTTTAGTGTCCCACGGAAAGGCCACGAGGGATCGCAACCGCTAAACACGCACTTAAACCACCCCTCGTGTATCTTCTCACCCGGGATCAGCGTTATTACTCCACGATCGTTCCGGTTCGCACGGATATCGAACGACCAGGCAATCGATTATTATCGACCAACGATTATTATTATTCTCGTTTTGACTTTCGTCGACGCGTGTATTTAATTTTACGCGTAACGAAAAACGCAGAGAGCGATCGATCGTATATATACAGGGTGTCCGGTAACTAACGGACCAACGATTACAAATGGATTCTTTGGTCAATTTGGGAACGATTTTTCCTCAGCGAAAATGTCGAAAAAGGTCATCATTTTTTACAACTTTCCAATATTTGTCATTATGTATCTTTATAACTAAGCCTCAAATTCAAATTTTATTATAGTAAACTCTACCTGAAATTAACTGAAGAACCCATTTTTTTCAATCGCTTATAACTCGAAAATTATTGACTTCTCAACATTTTTGCTAAGGAAAAATCGTCTCCAAATTGGCCAGAGAATCCGCCCTTAATCATTGGTCCGTTAGTTACCGGACACCCTGTATATATATATATATATATGTGTGTGTGTGTGTGTGTGTGTGTGTGTGTGTGTGTGTGCGTCGTACAGATGTAAAAGGGAAGGTTAGCAGCGAAATATAATATATTTAACAAAGAGAGAGAGAGGAATTTAATTTTATAAATTTTTCGAGAGACGAATAAAAGTTCTAATTTTAATCTAAATTGAAATGAGCCGCGTATGAATTGCAAAGATATCTTTTTTTTTTTCATCTCTGGACCGAGCGTGCTGGATCGGGAAGGGGGAGGGAACAAGGCGGGGATATTTTATATCGCTTTGAACTCCGTTTGATATAATTTTGCATTCATTGCCAGGGAATCCGAATTATTTCGCAATCTCTCTGAAGTTGCGCTTGATGTCGTTAACGGGTACATTTACGCGCGAAAAAATTTTATCGCGTTTAAACGTATTCCTACATTTTTCTGGTCTTCCAGATTGCGCGCCGAGTGAGCCCCCTCCCCCTTCCACCCCCTTCCACCCCCTACGTATTATCGAAGAAAAAATTCGCGATATTTAATCCCCCATCGAGAACCTGCAACGAGATTCTCTCAGCTTTTTTTTTTTTTTGCTTATTCGCGCAAAATCAAAGTACACCCTTCCGTCAAGAAAAACAATCGCTATAAGTCAAGATATTAAAATTCCAAGTTTTTTTTCGCGGTATGATATCTCGCCGAGAAATTTTCTTCGACTTCTTAAAGTTTTCACCGCAATACAACCAGAAGAAACTTGGTCACAATCACGTTAAAGGTAATCTTAATTCAATCCTTGCCATTATTAATACCGTCGCGTTTAAATTAGCATTTATAGAGACTGTTTGATATCTCTCTTACACCGAAAAAAATTATTAAATTAATAAATATTTAATTCAGTACTGCCTAATCTATCATTTATTTGAAACAAATAAATATTCATCTGTTTCGAAAAAAGGATTTTTTTATATCAAATAAATATTGTTTCACGTCGAATCAAAATTATTAATAAAAAAACTTATTTGAATTCAATAATTTTTTTTCAGTTCAGTATATTTTTTTATTGTCCTCTGAATGTTTAATTTCGTTTTCTTTAAAAATTTCTTAATGCACGCTCTTGTGTGTGATTTTCTAAATTTATATGACTAACATTCGCAGGCATCTATATAATTTTAATATCCGCGATAATTAATCTCTCTATATATTGAAATAAATTACAGACACATATATGAGAAATTGTGTGGACTAAGTCAACAGTTTACCCAAATTATATTTCGTTTAAACTTAAGCCTTGACATATTTCACGCAGCTATCGCGAATGAATAATAACGTTGATTTAGTACGAGATCGTTAATTTCTGGTTATAATAAATCTGAATAAACTTTCGCTCGGCAATTTATTTGAGTCATTCATGTTCCACGATCGGATCGTTATATCGATTGCCTCTATTTTGAGCGAGAGTGTATTAATTAATCTTGATTTATCCTTCGCTCTTTTGCAAAAGCTGTCTTGTATGAATGAAACACGCGCAGATTCGCAACATATCTTAATATAACGATTGCACAGAGAAAGAGTATCTTTTTTTTGCACGTATGTATTATATCTCATCGAACTTCCAGGTTTATTTGGAATTTTGTCGGCTAGACACGTATACATGTATGTACCCGCGACCAACAATTTTTCCGCTTCAATGCAGCTAAATTCACGAGCGGAGAGGAAAAAAAAATGAAAGAACGAAAGAAAGGAGACGCATGTGATTCGATGCGCAGCCAACGAAAATGTAAATCCACCGCAACTGCGGGAGCCGATGGTAACGCGCATCCGGCCGGAAGTAAAAATTCCCCTCGGCGTTATTGTTCTTTGGTCGCTTGCCCGATGTACGGCTCGGCTCGTATCTTAACGTGGAATTTCCCCATTTACCGATACTATTTCGCGATGCAGATCGCGCGGCCTCTCTGAGTCCCGGTAAGGATATTGGCCCAGGCGATCGGTATATTTCTGCGGAAATCGAACGAGGAAGAGATGTCCGATAAGAAAATGCATTTCGATTCCTAC